GGGGACACCCTACATAGGGTGCTAGACCATCATAGAGCCCACAGTCTATGGGGACTTTAGAGGCAACAATTTGCACAGACTGCAAGAAGAAGAGCAGTCCAAGTACTTTGCAAACACTGGCAAAACACGAGGAAAACATGCAGACTCCATACACACACACACACACACACACACACGCACACACAGAGGTTTGTAATTATATCTTTGTGGGGACTCTCCATTCACTCTAATCCCAACATGACACCTTTAACCCCTACCCAGCCTTAACCTTAACCATAAGTAACCAGTCACATATTTTTTATAAAATTGAGGTTATCCTTGTGGGGACCGTAAAAATGTCCTCACAAGGTAAAACATTACAGGTTTTTATCACATTGTGGGGAAACCTGGTCCCCACAAAGTAATAATTACAAAAACATATGCACACACACACACACACACACACACACACACAGGCACACACAGATACACATACATGCAAGTATATGCACGTACACACACACACACACACATAAACACACAGCAGGGGTGGGATTTAAACCTCCATATCTATGAAGGAGTGAAACTAACGCCACCAAGGAACTCAGCAAAACATAAACGATGAATGTGACCATTACAAATAACATTGTTTTTATGATATACAGTGTTTCAAAGAAAATTAGAAGGCAGACAATGAAAAACAACAGCTATATAATTACACAAAGCACAAATCACAGAAGCGAACATAGAGCCAACGCACAAATCACATGCACCCCACTGAGGCAAAACCGTCGCGTAAACAGTCTCCTAATGAATGGGGATCTCACCGTTTACTTCATGTTAACAGGCAGGACAAGTAGAAACTGACAGAAACAAAGATCTGTCACTTCAAAGCCGAAGCGTAGCAAGGCCCCCACTTATTTTAACGCTGAGCATAAATTTATCGCGAAGAGGAAGAAATAACAAGTAGATGGAATAGGAAATTATAGCCACCAAAAATAGTAATAATGAGGTCACAAAAAGATAAACAGAACACCGGAATGGTGAAGCTGGTTATATCGGATTGCCAGTCATGTGCTGTGAATTTAAGAACGGCATAGGAGTTCTGGTCAAAAATAAGGAGGTTCTGAACCTGCGTTTATCCAAGCAGCAAGGAAACAAACCATCTCTCCAGTCCACTGCTGGGGGGCTTAAAACAGGGGGCCCTGACCCCCCCCCCGGCCTGCTTCTCAGTGATGACCTGTTATGTCGGCTTTGTAAGTTATAGAATACCAGTGCCAGTGCCAGAACCAGCGCCAATACCAGTGCCAGTGTTGTTTGAAATGTGAACTGGATTTAAAAGATTTGGGATCGGTTTGTTTTGTCTTGCTTTTAAGCAGGTCAGCATAAAGCTGCACAAACGAGCCTACGCACTCGTCAGCGGTGATTAACAATCACAAAAAAATTATGAATAATTTAATGCAAAGCACAAAAACTTTATTGATAAAATCTTGAATTATGTTTGCGTTTTTAAAACAAAAAGCTTATATCTGAGTTGTTCAATAGTAAACAGACAGGTGGACGTGACTCTGTGAAAGTTACCTCTGATTTTCTTCACTGTTTATAGACTTTCGTTTGCACTACAGACACAACATATTTTCTTAAGAACACTTTACCTATAAAACACTTTAAAAACAACCTTTGTTGACCAAAGTGCTGTACAAAGTTAATAACACAAAATGAACACCAACACATATAAACGGACAATCCAGTCATGAATACTTTTTAAGTCTCCCCAAAGACTAACGAATAAAAATCGGCTTGGAAGTGGCCCTGATTTGGGTGGAGAGACTGTTTTATAGCCTGGGTGCTGCTGAGGAACAGCAAGCGAAAGCTGCTGAGACGACCTCAAGGATCCTGCGGTGAGCGGCTGACAGAGTAGATCGACCTTATAGGAAGGAGCTAACCCAGTTAGGGATTTGGAAACAATCAATGCAATTATGCCTGCATTATAAACTCTGTCATTCAACTTTTAGCCTAAAGGTGACTAAATGTCATCTTCATGGTGGCTATATCTCAGAGAGGTTATAAAGAATCCAGATCTGGTCAATGGTGGCCAGCTGCCTACGGGATCTGTCTGATCTGAGTCATGACATCACACTTCCGACCATGGGATTCGAACCAGTAACCTTTCGATCAAGGGCGCAGAGTCTGAATCTGCTGAATCTGCTGATCCACACCCACACAAGGCCAAGCAACCATACACCCACACAGAAACACCCAATACCAACTCAGTCAGTGAGTGACATAGATCTCTCCCTCCCCATTCAGTTAAACAGCAGACAGAGCAGACAAGCTAAACCTCTGTCCGGGCTGGATAATTTCGGCACCAACGCCCTGTGCCATGGAGACGGTTCTTTTGTAAGCCGACAATCCCATTACATCACTGGGTCAAGCAGTGAGATTTACTGCCTCACCCCGAGTCCTCCTGGGTTGCTGGGCACAGCTCCAGCACCCCATGCAGGAGAATGACTTAGGCCTAGGTGTTACTGAGTGCGTTTAGATGCTCTGCGACGATGGTCTGAGCAGAGCTCACCATGTCTGGGCTTTTGCAAGGAAACATTGCGAAAGCATTAAGAGGCTTTGAGAGAGGTGGTTACAAAACTGGACCCAGAGGTTGTGTCTTCCATTCTGGACACCAGTCTGATTGTACGCTCTCCAGATGCAGTTAACGCCCAACCCAAGAAGCTTCGGTTCATGCCATTTTGCTCCCTCCGCTTAAACACATCTGAGACCTTCATCCTCATTGGACTTGACATAGAAAGACAAAATCTCTAGGAACAAAATGAGTCACCCATAATTCTTCACTACATTATGAGCGGCTTTCAGTGTATAATGCTAGGTAATGTAGCATAGGGGTTAACATAGGGCTGGACAGTGTATAATGCTAGGTAATGTAGCATAGGGGTTAACATAGGGCTGGACAGTGTATAATGCTAGGTAATATAGCATAGGGGATAACCCCAGAAAGGGTTAAGGTTTGTTTTTAGCTGCCATGGTGAATTCTGTTAGTTGCAAACACTGGAACTCTTCTGACTGTCAGATTGTCAGGTACAGTGAGGCTCACTGCCAGGCACAGATGTCTGCAGTGCAGGTTTGAGTTGTCCGCGTAAGCTATCCAGGATGACCTCCGAATCTTTTTAGAAAATACAGGGATATATGTTACCTGAAGTGGATATAAAAATCAGGGAGAAAAGAATCTGCATGCCGAGAGGGTGCCCATGCATGCCCGGGAATACAAGCGATAGCACTGCAGGCACGGGGGATGGTGCAGCAGGTCAGGGGGAGCAGCAGGCCAAGAAGGCACGGCAGGTCAGGGAGGCATGGCAGGTCAGGGGGAGTGGCAGGCCAGGGAGGCACGGCAGGCCAGGGGGAGCGGCAGGCCAGGGAGGCATGGCAGGCCAGGGAAGCACGGCAGGNGGCAGGCCAGGGAAGCACGGCAGGTCAGGGGGAGCAGCAGGCCAGGGAGGCGCAGCAGGCTAGGGAAGCACGGCAGGCCAGGGGGAGCGGTAGGCCAGGGAAGCACGGCAGGCCAGGGGGAGCGGTAGGCCAGGGAGGCACGGCAGGCCAGGGGGAGCGGAGGGCCAAGGAGGTGCAGCAGGCCAACGGAGCACGGCAGGCCAGGGGGAGCAGCAGGCCAGGGAGGCACAGCAGGCCAGGGGGAGCAGTGACGTCTCTGGCTTCCTGCCGCCGAGCATGATTGTGCTGTGTCAACTGCACTATGCACGCCGCCAATGACGCTTTAAATCAAAAGGCCACCTTTTGATAGATTAATTCATGTGATGTACTGATGCACTGGCATGTAGAAGAATCCCAGTCTATTTAATCTCTGACACTGACATGCAGGGGTACAGTAAGGGGGAGGGAATTAGTAGAATTCCTGAGTGACAGGGACCCTAAAAATTTGGAACATAATTGGATTGACCTGTTTTTGGGGTCCAATATGATGTAATTTCCTGAGGGCAAAAATCTGTAGCTGTGCCCCGACTCATATGCAGACCGACACGATTGTCTACGGAGATGTCTTTGTTTGGTCTCGAGCAGTCTGACCTAAGTGACTTTAGACCTGCCTCACTTGAGCTCGCTTCTGTGGAGGCTTTGGGGGGAGGGGGGACTAAGGCCAGCTGATTGTGTGAGAGGTCCTCACATGGTGTGAAATACGCCTAGAAGTCGCTGACCGACCTGCCTGGGTTGATCACAGTAATCGTTCTTTTAAGCTGTCCTAGCAAAATGCTCAGCGTCCCAAATGCCTTTTCACCTATTAACTCCTCGTCCAGATTCCAGAAGAGAACAATCGATGTAAGGAATTATCAGCAACCAATACCAAAATAAAGCAACAAGATGAAACACAGGTAGGCTGGTCCATAATTTGTTTTCATGAAAATGTAAGTCTATAATTCCAGGAGACTGAGCCAAACATACATCTCAGAACAACTGGCTAATAGTGCAGATAAATGTTCTTACATCTGACAGGGCACCTCCAGGGGGCAAAATGTAACCAGGGTGCTAAAGTTCATCGACACAGCGGACACACATTTGGCCCAGTTGCCTGAACTGACCTTCTGTCCAGTATCTCATGGTGGCAGGGGGACAGGCCCGATTATGCAGGAATGAAGAAATCTGGCTAACTTTTCAGGTTATACGAAAGCTGTTGCTCTCCCGTCAACCCAAAGGTAGGTCAGAACTGTTCAGTAAATCCCTTTTCGTTGGATGCAGGATGAAGTAGTTGCAGCGATTAGTGCCTGGCTCTGCAGGCTCTTCGCCTGACGTTCCTCCGGAATTTATTGCTGTCATTGGCGTTGTGGCCTGAGCTGCATCCCTTAGCTGTGTGTGAAGTTTGCATATTCTTCCCAGGTTCCTGTGTGTGTTTCAACCCATATTCTAAATAAATAGTTCCATGTGTTCTATGGTGTAGGAGTTGGTATTGGGTGTTTCTGTGTGGCTGTATGGTCGCTTGGCCCTGTGTGGGCCTCTACCCCGTGCCTGGTGTTTGCTGGTTAGTAATGGAGAATGGCTTGATGGATTTCTTGTCGCTCTGGTATGGCTGACAAGTGCAGCATATAGATTTATTAGCCATATTCTACAAAGTGAGTTCCAGCCCAGTACACACATCCAGTAAGAAGCCTAGTTCAGCATTAATACCAATATTAATACATAACCCTGTCATCAAAGGACGCCTCAAGACTTACTACCTCTAGTAGAACATAATAATTAGCATTGATTCTCAGTTCATGCTTACCTTGCACAATCGTGTAATTAAGCTTTATTGGGTGTTATTTTTGCCACCGAAAGACCCCGTATAGCTCACTCTAATAGTCACGCAGCCGTCCGGTTAAAGAAAGGCCACTGGCATTGCGCGAATGACCTACGAGGCGAGAACATCGACACTCTGCCCTTTGGCAACTGCTCCTGGAGCAGAAATAGGCCTGACTCTACAAGTGACGTTAAGCACTTAAAATGATGTTCTTCTCGCAGCATTCCGAGGAGCCGTGTCTTCAGTGCTACAGCAGAAGATCTGAAACGGACACTTCAGAAAGGGCCATTTTAATAACCGGCCTTAGCGATGATGACATCACGAACTGGCCTATTCCAGCACACGATTGTAGACTAGACTGTCATTGAAAAATACAGCACAATTCCACAAGCTACTGAACCTATTTCCATTAACTTCAGTCTTTGGTTTCAAACCTGCTTTGCGATTTGTATGGTGGTGGAGGGCAAATTTCCATGACTAGAGAGATTTTGTGGCCAAATACACAAATCAATAAAATCCCAAGGGTAATGTTTTATTTTAGTGACATTAATGTGTATGTTTTACTCCTGGACTAGGAAGCAGGCCATGTACTTTATGGAATTTCCCTGTAATTTGGAATTTGGTTATTCAGCACAATAATTTTGAATTTTTTTTTTTCCAATTTAGTGATTAACTGTCATTGTTGACACACCACAGCACACAACTACTAAATGTGTCCTCTGCATTTAACCCATATGTGACAATGTGACATAGCAGGGGGCAGCTAATTCAGCGCTTGGGGGCAGTACCTTGCTCAGGGTACCTCAGTGGTGCCTTGCTGGTCCCCGACAATTCAAACCTGCAATCTTTGAATTACAAGTGCGCTTCCCTAACCATTAAAGCCACCTCTGCCTGATCAAATGCTACAAGGTATTAGTGAAGTCAGACATCTATGAATCTATAAATACAAGATAAATGTGAAACAGGCAATTTTAACCACAAACCTCAAAAGCTACTAGGACAGGATACCTTGACCTCTGAGTAGATAACATATAAGCCAGATAAGCGAGCCACATGAGCTGCTCATTCTGATTGGTCAGGAGATTACTTTCATGATGACCAAATAAAGGAGTAACCAATCAACATGCAGGATAGATGAGCAGGAGTGTAACAAGGCTGCAGCACTGAGTGTAAAGTTTTATTTATTATTATTCTTCTTGACAGACACTCATTGGGTATTTGGCACCACGTAAGACTGAGCTGCCACCTCATTCTTGCCTTCAACCAGGCTGTGGAAGAAACCGTCATGACTTCTCCGGGAGAGAAGGATAAAAACCCAATGTGAAGAGTCAAGGAAACACATTCACCACCAGGTGAGACAAGGTGATTGTGTGGCAGAGTTTCTAAATCATCTACTGCCCCCTGCTGACAATTACAAAAAAACCAAGTCTAGACACATGAAGCCGCAGAAACTGAGGAAACCCACGGAATCAAACCGGCGTACAGCTCTGCCATGGTACAAGCACCCCGCTGATGTCACCCCGATGATGTCACCCCGCTGATGTCACCCAGCTGATGTCACCCCGATGATGTCACCCGTCATCCAAAGGACTCCACTAGCAACAATACCATCACAAGTTTATTATGCGACTTTGTACAATAAAAAAAAAACAAAAAAAATACAAATGGAAAGAGAAAAAAATGCAGTAATGAACAAATTTTATTTATGGAAGCCCATTTCTGCCAGTAAAAAAAAAAAAGGAATATAAAGTTGAAATTACGAGATACAAAGTCATAATTATGAGATAAAAACCCGAAATTACGATAGAATGTCATAATTAAGAGATAAAAAGTCAAAATTATGAGAAAAAAAGTCGAAATTTTTACGACTTTCATTTTTTATTTTTTATTTTTTTACTGCCGGAAATGGGCTTCCATATATATGTGGCACAAAGAAAAGAAAAAAAAACGAATGTGAGTAGATTCACACAAGCAGATTTTTGGGGGCTGTCATTACTTATTGGCTCTGGGGGTGGGCATCGAATGTACTGGTCAAAGAGCGGCTCCCCCAGTGTCTAACATACAACAGAAAAACACAAAAGCATCTTAGCAGGGCCAATATATGCAAAAAATTAAAATAAAACTAAATGTAACGTTAAATGAATATCTTTATAGATTACTGTCCATGGCTAGATAATTTAAATTACAATATGTGGAAAAGGATTAACCGTGACAAGAGGGGACGGGGTAGGAATAAACATTCTTCTTAAAAAAAAATAAAGAAAAAAAAAAGCCAGAGGTGAAGTTTCAGCCTTTAGGTGTCCGTGATGTCCGAGTCCCCGGCAGCTGGTCAGGCTGCTCTGCCCAGTTACATCTGACCATCAGAACCATTCTGAGACAAGTTCATGAAGTTTAGTTCAACAATAACGTTAGACATGGGTTTTCTTTTTTTAAATAACGGAAGAACACATTATACTTTTGGATGTTTAAACGACCAACCACCAAAACACGATTGTACAACAGGGGACTGTTTGCTTTTAACATGATGGGAGACATCGGTTTGAAACTAGGGAAGATTAAACCTAAAAGATGATTAAGATGGCTTCAGCCCGGCTGTGATGGCAGGTTTCATGCGGGGGGGAGTGGGGGGTGGGGGGCCATGGACCGCAGCGAACCGGCCCTCTCCTCATGCAGAGAGCCGCGTCGTTGGACAGATGTGGAGGTCCAGGCCGGTACGTTGGCAGCCAGTACGTCAAAGCATAGTGGTCCTCAAATACTTTAAAATATCTTCCCCTTCTTTTTGTTTTTTTCCAAGGTCCTAAACAAAAAGGAAAAAAAAAAAAAAAAAGACCCTTAATAAGAAAGCAAAGATAAATCATGCTGACCTCCTGACGAGCAGCTGCTCTCCTCAGACTGCACTCCTGCCTAAAAACCCACGCAAAGCCTCACCCTGAACACAAGCGTGTTCACGCTCCTTCCGACTCGAGGCCCTCGATACGCCAAATCTATGGGCTCGGCGCCGAGAGCAGAAAAGGGGCGGATTAAAAGCCCGGGTTCATCTGGGGATGAAGGGTTCCGAAGCGCCTGGACGCCGACAGTGGAGCACAGTGTGGCCGCACACAGTACTTCTGCTCTCAGAGGTGTGATGACTCACTTCCTCCCGCAGACGGGCCTGGTGGGGGGGCCCTACTGCAGATACGTGGTATAATCAACTGTTATCGCGCTCCCCCACCCAAACACTGAACTTTAACCGCTGACTGAACTGATTCTCCCTGTTAGTTCACCCCTGTGACCGGTGTGTGGCTCCGTCGGTTAGGACCCTGAGCCTGTGATCGGAAGGTTGTTGGTTCAAATCTGGGGTCGGCACAGCGATGTCACCATTCAGCCCTTCATGCCCATTTGCTCCAGGGACTGGTGGTCTCCGCTTTCTTAACGTGCGTCACGTCGGCTACGCGGCCCGACCCACCTGGAGGCGTCCAGCTTCGCCTGCTCCATCACGCGCTGCTGTGCCTCCCAGTTGACCTTCTCCTCCTCGTACTGCCGCCGCTTCTCCTCCAGCTCCTTATGCTGAGCCTCCAGGTTCTTCTTCATGTGCTCGTGACGCCGCTGCAGCTGCAATTCCCAGCGACACAGACAGGGGTCAGGGGTGCCCTCGTTGGCGGCTACCCGGAAGGCGTTAACTCAACGGTAGGTCAGATGACATACAGACAAGTGAATCACAGGACTTATTTAAGCTACAGGGCATATAGAAAAATCTAGAAACAAGTCAGACAAACAAAAACATCTTGTAATCCCAGGGCTGCATGATAAATGAGGGTCACGACAGGGCCAGTGACCGCAGTGACCGCAGTGACGCAGTGACGCAGTGTGAGGGACGGCTGATCACAGTACCTCTGCCTCAGAGTCTTTCAGCTTCTGAATTTTCTCCTTGACCTTCATCTCAAACACCTGCTCCATCTCCATCTCCATCTTCTTCATCTTGGCCACATGTTCCCTCCTCTCCTCTTCCATCTGTGCCAATGGGCTCCTGCAGTGGCCACACGCACACACACGTGCACGCACGCACCATGCACCACGCAGAAAAGTGTGCACACGGACGTGAAAAGGCAAAGCACATGAGAAAGTCCCAGTAAGCCTCACCTCTCCCCCCAATGTCTCCCACTCCCCAAAGCCCAGCAAAATGACACGATTCATTTCTGCAAACAAATGTCTCATTCCCTGCCACACCATTAGGGGGCGCTGAGATGCTGCTCTGGCAGAAACCCCACCCACATAGAGAGAAAAGCAGAGAGAGCAAATGTGAATGAAGCCTGCGCCCAAAGCTAGAGATGGACGCCGAACAGTGCTGTCCACTGGTGCAAGAAAGCCAAGCTCTTGAATACCGTAAATACCAGGCCCGCCATTGAGGCTGGAACAGCCAATCACAGCAGCCCGTGAAAACTGCTAATCAAGACTACACGCCGGACAGGAACCCCCGATCTGCAGAGAGATCGCCATCTGGACGTGCCGCCCAACAAGCTGCGAGGGAAGCCGTTTCTGAAACCTGCGCTTAGGAGCACGCCCAGATGGAAGCATGCCTGGCAACCGCTACCCCCTACCAGTCCACAGTGGGGCGCTGGTGTGCAAATGAGATCTTAAAGCAGGTTCTGAAGAAACAAAAATGTCACTTACATGCCTTCAACTGTATCAAGTCTAAAAAAAAACAAAAAAAACAACAGAGACACACACACACACACACACACAGACACACACACACAGACACATTTAGCATGCTGAGTTATATCATGCATTACAAAGCAACCGTGGTGGATAAGGCGTGCGACAGGCAGTGTGTGCAGACCTCCTGGTGTTTGGAAGGTGAATACAGAGCAGGTTAATGACAATATAAAGGGCTGGGCGACCCCGAGGGCACGGGGCTCTGTGTGCCGTGGGATTGGCAGTGTGCCGTGGGATTGGCAGTGTGCCGTGGGATTGGCAGCGCCCAGGTGAGTTTAGGTGGTTCAGCTGGCGTCCTGCTTGATGTCGAGGAGCCATTAAGGAGCCTGGCCCTGATTTAGCATCTTGCTGATTCAGTGGTGAATTAGTAGTGGATACGCTACCTTCTGCCCATTTAGTGTGTAGCCGTGACTTCTGCCCTGCCCAGTGAGTCTGTGACCTCTGACCTATAACCTCTGATTCTTAAGGGAGCAGCGAGATCAGGCCAGCAGTGTGAGGCTCTCAGAGAAGGCTATCTTCAGGCATTTTCACCATCCATACTAATCAAGATGTGGCCCTAGTTCCCGAACACCATGGGGAGTAGGGACCCTGCCACAAGAGGGCGCCTTTGTCCCTTGGTCCCACAGACGAGATAGCTTGCGGCGTGCTGGACTCACTTGGTCAGCTGACCCTTGCTCTTGTTATTGTCCACGCCGTTGTAGGTGACGGCCGCCAGCTTGCGGCTCCTGTAGTTCTCGTAGTGGACATTGTTGGTCACATCCTTCAGGTCCTGCATATGGGTCCTGGGGACGAATGAGAGCGTGTTACAGAGCGGGGAATCTGGACGGTGACATGGGTAATTTTATTGGTGAAGGAGGTGGCAGCATCGAACCTGATGAGCATGTTCCGGAGGATCGTGAAATCGCAGTGCTCACTGTTCTCCACTGGGGGGCAGAAAACAAGAGCAAGAGTTAAGGTGACACCAACTTGTCATCCATCGCTGCCCCACCCAGGGAAAAGCTTTCCAATTCCCAGTTTTATTCACTTGCAGAGATACCTGCAGTACCAGAAACATCCGCCAGGGGGCCACCACATCAACCAAGCCAGTTTCCTGGTTGTTTTACAAATATTAACTGCCTGAATGAGGGGCATCCCCTCCCCCTTATCTATTTTCATAATTACTTGCCATCAGTAGATATGCCATCTACACAATGAACAGGCTTCCTCACTGTTATGTCAACATCCACCTGAGACCCATCTCTTAGCGGAGTCCAATTTCAGCTCAAACATCAAACGGCAGTTGCAAGTCACACTGGGAAAACAGGTGAGCAGGCAGCCATGCTAACAAGGTGGGCAGCAGTGTGGGAATCCACAGTGATTCGTGTCACTTCCCCACAGTGATTCGTGTCACTTCCCCACAGTGATTCGTGTCACTTCCCAAAGCCTGACAGCAGTTGAGGGTTCATTGGGCAGTAGGACAAAGGGCCAAATTCCTGAAGCAGTCTTTCCTACAGTCCCTCCAAGCCTGCTGCCGGGAATCTCATTTACGGAACCGAGTTTCCAACTCAGACATGTTGGAACAGGCGTCAGTCACTGACCTAACCTGGCTCCTAGTGACGTCACAGCCCACTGGATGATCTGCCGTTACCAGCACCAGTCATCTTACAAGCCAAACCTCACGCCATCCTCAATAGGTGGAGGTGTTAGTGACACGTTAACGGAGCACCAAAGCGTTTCCACCCCGAGGGAGAGAGACGTCCTCGCTCTCCTTGATAGGTGGAGGTGTTAGTGACACGTTAACGGAGCACCGAAGCGTTTCCACCCCCTGAGGGAGAGAGACGTCCTCGCTCTCCTTGATAGGTGGAGGCGTTATGTCCCATTTCGCCTGATGCCACCTCTCGTCTCTGGCCGTTCCCCGACCTCGCCCGTGCCAGAGAAACACAAAGCGAACTTCGGCTCAATGTTTATTTTTAACTTGCCGAAAGGATTTTCCGATGTCATAAAGAGTAAACGAGCCCAAATAGCCGCCCCCCCATCAGAGACTCCTGTGGTGAAGGAGAATGTCACACCAATGTCACCCACCTGCACTGACATACCCCAGGAAGTGAAAATACCCATCCTTTCAGGCCCCACCTTCGACCCCCCTCATCCCTTCACTTCCTGGCCCTGCCGTGCCAGTGTAGCACATGCCCACAAGGGGGCGCAGCCCAGTAGACCATGATGGGAGCCATCTGACATGCACCCCTGCTGGCTCACACTGGGCGTACTCCAGTTCACGAAGGCCCCTCTGCAGTTCTGGCAGGACGGAGCCGTTTCCATGGAAATCTTCCTTCTTCCTTCATTGGCCGCTAATGGCTAAATCTAACTAACAAAAGGGTGAGGTCTCTGAGCGGAGAGGGGTAGGGGGACCAGAGCAGTGATCACTGGCACGATGATAACAGACCCCCGTCGAGGATGCCCCCTCACCTTCAGCCACGCCCCAGGGGTACTGCCTCCCTCGGACGCGCTTCCCGTTGACCTCGATGATGGTGTTGCTACCGACGACGGCCAGGGGGAGGCGATCCTGTGGGCAGATGCAGGCGTTATGCGTCTGGAGGAGAATGGTGGGCGGCCTTGCAGATCGCGGCTGGTGTCTGCGTGTGTCGTACTGCAGGGTAATGCCCGACGATGCCAATCCCACCTGCTGGCTTTGCTGCCTTCAGCGAAAGCACAGCGACACGGGCTGTGAAAGTCACACTTGTCTAGCGCTGAGTGACATCACCACCTCGGGCTGGGGGGGGGGGAGCATGCGCGGATCTCCCTGCTGGTCCTCTGGGGACCTGTCCCAACAGGCCGGGCCGGACACTCGGAGACTCTCGGACAGAAATGCCTGCGTTGTGCTCGCAGAAAGAGTCCGTGAAGGAGTCAACAAGGGGCCGGCATGTTGCAGAAGATCAGCCAATCAGAGCTTCGCTGTGACGACCGCCTCCCCGCCTGGCCCGTTCTGCTGAAGGCAGAGGTGGGGAAACAGGGCGCGGGAGACGCTAAACGCTAAACGCTAACCCCGCCCCGCTGCCGCACCGGCCCGCTGATGTCACCGGCACTCCAGAAGAGTCGCGAATGGTTCAGGCTTGCGTGCACCTCAACCCAACGAGAAGATCCAATGACACCACTACGAGAGGCATATCGATATACGCAAACACGTACGGCAGCATTAAAACAAACAGCGGGGATCTGGTGGGAACGCTACCGAGGAACTGAAATCAGACTCTGCTGTGTGCTACTGGATGGGCTGAGCTGCTCCAGAGACGGTAAACATTCTTTTGTGGAGTAGAACCTGCCCCCAAAGCCCGTCACCTGTATGACAGCCACTGGGCTTGATCAGGGACAGGGAGTAAAAGCGGTGTGGAAGGAAGCAAGCTCTCCTCGTTTTCAGACCAGACTAAGTGATCCCACGTCAGGGTGACTGCATGCCTGTATTACATACAACTCTGTACCTTGATCTTCTTCACCAGCTTGTTCTCCTCCTCGTCATCCGTCTCTGGGAACTCGTAGATTTTGATTTTGTGTTCTTGAATTTCACGCATGATCTGGCCGGAGAAGAGACACACACTTGGTGACAAGACACTGAGCCCTGGCGACGCACTTTGGGTGGGGCGACGAGACTAGCAGTGAAAACGGACAAATTACTCTGACTCACATGAATCTCAAGAGGATGGCAGGGAAGGCCGGACAGCCTCTCTGGCTTGTGTGACCGCTATTGAGCCAACACCCTCCCTACTGCGTCCTCCTCACAGTCAGTCTATTTCTAAACCTACCCAGTACATCTGTGTCAACATCTCTGTCCAACGTCTGCTTTTGGAGACGTCACAGCGGGAAAAGTGGTCTGGAAGCCGTCTAGACGTTTGTAAGTCATGGGGTCCCAGTAGTTTACAGTTCAAATATTTACATGTGAGTGGGAAAAGGATGCTCATCTGAAGGACAGGGTCACAGGGATGAGGACTAGAGCAGAAGCTCAGTCAGGCGCCCCCTGCAGGCCGCGCGCAGGCAGCACAGACACATGCACACACAGGGGAAGGGAAGGGCCACATCACACACAGAAACAGACACAGAAACAGAGACAAACAGACCTGCTTCTTGAACTGCTGGCACTCTTCAGGAGTCAGTGTGTCCGCCTTGGCAATAAGGGGAATGATGTTCACCTTCTCATGTAGCCTTTTCATGAACTCTATGTCCAGTGGCTTGAGTCTAGAAGGACAAGGGGGTGACGGCGTGTTTGTGTGAGAATCGAGCGGCACAAAGGCATCCGGCAGAAAAACAAACAGGTTCTCGTGCCCGTCTCTCCCTCAGAATGACTGCGTCTGAATCGTGCCCCTGAAACTAGGCTGACTTCTGGCTGCTCTTTCCCCTGATTGGACGCTGCAAAGGGGGCTTGACGTGGATTAATCACCACTGCATGGTGTACGAGTGGGGGAAGCAGAAAGCAGAAGAGGAGGAGGAGGGGAAAGAGGAAGAGGGGTGGGGGGTCTCTGCGCCGCCTCTCCGCAGGCCCGCTGCAGCGGCCCGGTTCTGGGACGGGGGGTCTCTGGGAAAAGAGCGATGGGGCAGGGAACTGGCCTGGCAGCGAGCAACGGGAAGGGGCACTTAAGGTCACTCTGGCCGATGTGACTCTGTAAAGAAAAGCATGAAGGCGACAGACACTTAGGGTTAAGCCTGTGTTCCTAAGCGATGAAGGCCGGACCAGTGGGGCCACACAGCAGCAGCTACGTGACGTTGGCTCCCGGCAGGCAGAGTGTCTCTGCTCAACAGCAGGCAGAGAACAGCACACACACCACAGAGCTTGCCCCCCCCACCCCCCCAGGCCAAAGATGGGGGCGGCTGGCATCACACAGCTGTCGTTGTGTGGCCAACAGAGCGGCCCGCTGTTAGGAGCGGCTGGGGATGCGCTGTGCACGATGCGGGATGCGGACCCAGGCCAGTGCTGACAGGGACCCGGGGCCCGGGGCCAATATGCTGCATGAGGGGGAGGGGGGGCAGATTACACCACCACTTCCCACTAAGCGGCCAACGGTGACCGCCCCCTCTGCGGAAGCCAGCCCCCTTTCAGCGCGGGTGACAGGCACAGGCTGTTCGGACCAACAATGGGGTCTAGGAGGGCAGAGCTTGCTGGTAAATGTAGTCATCAATACCCACGACCATGCTGCGGCCCAGCCGGTCATCTTTCCTCCCCTCGTAAGAGGTGCCGTGGCGGAGCGCCCTACTCACCCATGTCCTGAGGGGGCGATGAAGTACAGGCAGCAGTGAACCCTGCTGTCGGGCATCTGACGCCGGTTGACGCGGGACTCGGCGTTGAGGTAATCCTCAAACTTACTGTCGATGTGGTCGATGACGGGCTGCCAGCTGGAATGGGTGCAGGTGAGTGTCAGGTGACCAGAATTTAGTGGCCATGCATGTTCGGACATGATCGGCATGCGCGGGGAAGCCAGACACAGCGACTGACAGAGAGGGTGAAAGTTACCAGTTGCTGTTGTCCACGGCATCACCGAATCCTGGGGTGTCAACTATTGTGAGGAGAAGCTGGACCCCCCCTTCCTTTATTAGCACCTTGGATTGTTCCACCTGAGAAAGGATACAAACAAAAATAATCAAATGTCATTGGACAGGCTTGTGTATCCCAGGTAACAAAAGGGGGGGCAAGCTGAGACCGGAAGCTTCTCTAACACCATCCTGAAACTGGTCCAGTCAAACCCCAGAGGATAGTGAGGAGAAACCGCGAGGCCTCTCCGCTCAGCATGGTCTCATCTACCACTTAGCCTTCTCTGTGCGCCAAATAAATCAGCCATGGGCTCTGGGTTAAAGTTTTACGCTGATCAACAAATCCGTTTAAGAGCGCTCTGCGTGTGTTCATTATCTGGGCTCGTTCAAACACTCTCGCGGCTACAGAAAAAAACCCTGTGCTGTTTCCAGGTCAGAACTGCCTCTCCAAATGGAACAAAGGTACCCAGGAAGCAGTATTTGGGACACCCCGTCATGCCGGCATGCCCCTCCACACTAAGCACAGCCCCGGGGCGGCACGAGCGACAGACCATGGTGCTACGCTGTGCTTCTTCAGAAAAGCGTCCTTTGAGGGGCTGGATGGAACAGCGAGTGCTTTTCCGGATCTGCTCCCTCCCTCCCTGCTGGGATTCTTCCTCGGACCCGTGACAGCCTGAGCCACTTACGATGCCATTGACAATGGGGGATATTGGGTTTAGCGGGAACGGGTCCCAGCTTGCAGGAAAACACACCCCAATTCCCAGCTCACTCTCTGCAGCCGAATACGACACCAAAAACAATGAAAATAATTTAAGGACTGGAAAGGCTGTTGTTACACACTAATCTATTCACCTTTTAACTAACATCAGCACAGCAGAAATATATTCTCTAATACAGACCAAGTGTTTTTTTTTTTTTAAAGTAAACCCAAAGCCAAACCTGAAACCAGAGGCTAGACACTTAGTGTCAATGTCCCAATTACAGATGTTTTTCAAAGCCACACTATCGTTAGCCGTTATGCAGGGCAGACACCAGCACTCGCATACACACGCAAAAAAAACTGCAAATAGCTGAGCTTGCGGCTGAGAAAGCCACTCTCAGCAGATTAAATTCCAACTGTGAAACGCGTCCGAAATGTAATTTTCTGCCTGTAAATCAAGCGGGATGAAAAACAGTCAATCAGTGAGTCCACGGGCCTGGAATGCAAACAGGTCTTTTTTATTTTTTATTTTTTTAAAAACTCGTCCTGCATGATGACACACGCTTCCAGCACCTGGAGCTTTCTGTAGATGCCAGTTCACCTGTTTTTGTTTTTCTTCCACTCCACACCTCCACACTCCACAGCTTTGCGGGATCTGTCAAAACTCCCACGGGACACTGCCAAGCTCTCACGGAGTGACTACTGACCCTTGGGGGGTCAGCACCTTGACAGACTGCCGGAAGCCTTTGGGCAAGCCCCTCCCACTACTTCTCCAGCTCCAATCACAGCACAGCTAAACGAAACGCTTTCCATTAAAACCAGACAGCTTCAGTGGAGGAAGTAGACAGATTATCAAAACACCATCCCCCCCCTCCCCCCCACCCCCCACTCTGTGTTCCCACCCAGGCCTGGGAAATAACTGCAAATATGAACAGCTTTTCAGGGTCAGGATGGTTACACTTTGACAGCCATGATGAGTCAGGTTGAAGGTATGTCATTCCAGACAAGAACCTACGCGGATTTCATCACGGATGGGCACTCGGCCCGCCGCACTGTGCCAGCAGAATCTCCACGGCAACCCTTTGGTTAAATCCATTTAAACCAGCAGCTTAATCATCGCGCTAAGCTGCCCACCACTGGCGACGCCCATGTAACGATTTTCACGCAGTCTGTTTATTCTATATTATATTCCTGCCTCTCACTTTGATTCCCAAAATAGCAAAGGCATTTACAATGCAATTTGTGGCTTTTCAACTTTAATCTCCCCAATACCACAAACTCTGCATCCACATTCCTTTGGGGGGGGGGGGGGGCTTTTCTTTAACTACTTATCAAGCCTGTTTGGGAAGCATTCAAAGTTCAGAACGATCGCTCAGCTGGTGGCAGTAAACAAAACTCCGGCTATTAAACGCATCACGAGTACAGGTAATCCACGCTGCGACACACCTCCTAAACGGTGTCGGCTGGCGTTAGGGGAGTGTCGCAGGAGGGAAGGAGTGTCAGCCGGCCTCCTCTGGGAGAGAAACAGCAGAAACAAGGGCTTCTTGGAATCTGACACGCAGCCGTGTCGCTGCTCTCCCTAAGAGAGCAGCCTCTATCCACCTCTCCAGCGGTGGATACACTGTAGCAGGTGGGCCATACGGGTGTCGGCCCGCACCGCTTACTGCTCAAATAAACAGCCCCCAGAATCCCAAACACGACAAACCCTGCTTACTCCAGCCGGGCCGCGATCGCTGGGATGGCAAGTGGCGACACGAAGGCCGTGATGCTGCACCGTCAGGCAGACATGCTGCGAAACCAGAAAACAGAAGTGGCTGCGTTTCACGTGGCTGCGCTTGTCCTGCGGACTGCGAGTGGCTGCACCCAGGTGCTCAGAAAGACATTTTAAGGAAACAAAGATGAGGAAATGGGTACAGAACAGGTGACCTGACGTCAACCCTGACGCATCACTACAGCAAAGGCATATACACTGCAGGCTACTTTATCCTTCCTGTTAGATCACTGCACCTAAGTGACAACACTCACTGTTCTCATTTAAAGCTAAACCACGTAGTTAGGTGGTCTGCATCCAAAAAGGTGGTCTGCCCCTTTTTGCAGAGGCAAAGCAAACCCATCAGTGGCAGCAGGGTGTGGCTGAGGAGCTTGATCGCATCACGTCACGTCGAGTGACTCCTGCACATGCCTATTAGTTGGTTCACCCTCAACGTCTCGCGCTTTGCATTATATGCAAAACTGCAGGGCAGAGAAAAAGCGACAGAGTTTGGTTGAGTTCTGGGTGAAACGTCACTCGGTGAGCTATCAGTAAGGGTTGATGCATTACATGTTCTTAAATACTCAGCCGCGGAGGTAAAGAACCAGGCAAAATGTGCATTTAAAAACAAACACTGCACAGCTTGTCGTGCATTAACCCACTTACACCATGGTCACAACACATTTGGCTTACACTTCTATAGACATTATTTTCAAATTATGAGCAAAAAAACAATTAGTAGAAATACTAATTGGGCTTGGGTGATAACTGTGTATCGTTTTTTAAACCAGTATTTCAAAATACCAGATTTTTTATTTTTTTTTAATAGTCAAATTATTGTATACCTCGGTGTAATATCTGGATGGTAAGAAAAATTAAATACCACCCAACCTTAGTACCAACATTTTGTTCACATACGACCCATGCCACCATCTTTAAATTGAAAATACCCTGAGGCTACAACTATAAGCCACTCATTACGTCAAAATTTTCAGCTCGAAATACCATCTCGTTTAAACGCGAGTGTAAAGTATGACTGAACAAGTGCATTACGTCAGTAAACCATTTTGGTGTTTAATCACTGAGCACAGGCCCTGGACCTCAGCCTGAAGCCCTATTGCTAAGTGATTTGCAGCAATTTGTTTGCTTTTAGAGTTTCCATTAAGTAACGACAGTCAGAATTAAAGATTACAATGGTGCCCACCGGATTCGCCCAGTTGGCATTACGTGTGCAGCCAAAGCTCAGTGTCTTTCCATCGCTTTTGATGCCACTGCAAAGCGAACACTGCTCTGTGCCACTGCAAAGCGAACACTGCTCTGTGCCACTGCAAAGCGAACACTGCTCTGTGCGGAGGGTCATCGCTGCACCTCCAGACAGGCCTGTAACGGGTGAAGGGACCCGGGTGGATCCCCGACACCTCGGACAGGAAGTCGGCTGATCAAGGGCTTTATGTCCATGGTTACTAATTAAACCAGTTTTACACCACTGATTGCAGACAGAAGCCAGGAAGCCTTCAACCATCGAAAAAGAGGGAACATGCACAACACTCATTAGGCAGGGGGAGGTCAGGCACTGCGGCACAAAACTTTCAAAGCAATTACTCCCCCCGGACGGCCAAACCAACTGCTGGCACGGGGCAGGAAATCAATCACATCCTAAAGCATCTGCTGTTTGCACTCAACAGCCAGGGGCCACGACATATTTAGACAGGCGCAAACACAGAAAAACCTCCAGATGTGCCTGTGCAGAATTAAACTGGGTGCTGGTATCACTATCATATGAAAACAAGTCTGGCACATCCAGACTACCCAGCTAACCTCTTTTCAATCACTGTATAAACAGGCCAGAGAGTTACGTGGTTCACTGGTGGATCGTACCATTAGGCACGTAAGGGGGAGGCTACTTCAGCTCTGGGCCAGGAGTCACAGAATGCAGTTACCTGCACCAATTCCTTCACTTGACATCCTGCAAAGCTATCTTACAACAGAAAGCATTTAAGGGGCAGAATCCTCCCCCCGCTGAAAGCAGACTGGCAAGATGCAGTGCTGCTCAAGATTTCGAATGGATCGGTAAACCAAACTCACAAAAAAACTATCCATCTTTGCATTTACAGTGCAGGGGAGCCGGTGGGAGAGACACTAACAGAAAAATGCAGCTTTTTATTCATAAAATCAACCCAGGCAAAAACAGCACTGGACCTTTAATGCTCGCTGGATATAAACCATGCCTCACGAGCTGCAGATAGGACATTTACAGTGGCTCGGCTTATGACATAGAGCAGAGCTCCACGGCACCCCTAGTGGGGGCAACACAGCGATTATCCGAGGGGGTCAATCTTAGCTGAAATGAGTTTAAATGGTTGCGAAGAAAAAAAAAAGTAATCTTGGCCACTTTTCAGTATTCCAGTGGAGAGTCTGCCAGGCCTGTTCCGTGGAAATTTCGTACACCTTCCCTCGTGTGAGCGGCAGATGGCGAATGGGATCTCGGCACCCTCTGCCTGACGCGTTTCGCTCAGAATCAGGCTGTAACCGCAGCAGTCTGGCATGCAGTTGTCCGATTACCATCAGAGTCCCAATTAAGAGTGATTGCGATGGGAAATTAAGAGATAATCTCAGCTCAGAGCAATTAGGTCTGTGAGACTGGTGAGGCTCCTCGGTCAGACGACGGAGAGATATCTCTGCAGCTGTTTACAGAATCGCTCCGCTTTTGCTGGCAGATTCAAGCCGCTCTGGAGTTAATTATTCCTCAGGCTCAAAATGTCCAAGCTAACCATCGAGGACTGGGAAATCAAGGCATTCTGACTGGCACAGTGTTAACACCGTACCTTAGCAGCCAGAGTTCGAAAATCTTATCACGATTCCCAGCAAATCACTGCCACACTCAAAACCTGAAATGGTCCCATCAGTCGATTCCAGGATCCTGTAGCCTATAGTTTCACTTAGCGGGTAAGATAAACAAAGCATAGGATGGGGGGGTTGGGGAGATATAATCTGCCCTGCCTACGATCGGCACAAGACCGTTACTGTGGAGAAGATAGAAGCAGTAATACTGCGCAAACTCTAGGTCAAGAACACACACACACAGTACTTCACTAAACAGTGACAATAGAACTACTTCATCAATACTATTATAAAGGTAAGTTGTAGATTATGGGCGAGTCTATAGAGAGAAAGCGGTACAGACACACAGGAAGAGCAACCAAAGACACTTATATAACACACACACACACACACACACACACACACACAAAACTCTTAAGGTTAAGACCAACATCAGACATAACATAACTCGAAGTACCATATTCTGAAAACAGACCATGGAAAGTTCTGGGTTATCAAAAACTGTGACTGTGATTCAGACAAACAATAAATGAGTGAAACTCGAGAGAAATCTACTGCCAAATGGTAAATTCAATTCTGTATTACTCCAAAATAACGGTCACACTGCCTGGAAAGACATTCATTTATTTTTTCATTTACCTGTACGGTCTTCTTGATTCTGTGGGAAGGCCCAGGATACTCGCCAGAATACAAGTCTGTCAGGAACAAGGAGTTGATCAGCGTCGACTTCCCCAGACCAGATTCCCCTGTGGAGAGAGACTTTTTTTAAAGATTGTACAGAAAACAAAAACTAGAATTTGACTGGCAGATTGTATCATAATACAACCTGGACAATTCAACTGATTTACAAAAATCTCACTTTTAAGAATTTCTGAAATATCTCAAATTCTATATGTTTGGACAAAAACTGGGAGATGTGGACGGACAACTTGAGATTTACAATCCCTGACACCAAGTTCAACATTTCATATTGAATGTATCATGTGAATGTTTCAACAATTTCTAAAAATAGTTACAAATCACCAGTGAAAGAAAAAGGTGACGTCACCCGTAATGTGGTCTATGAGAGCAGAAGTTTGTGTTAAAGCAACATGCATGCAAAGACAGGAATGCCTGACTGCAGACCCCAGTAATAATATATGAAACAAGGATGAACAAATTGCAGCGGGTTTCCCCTTAAATGATCATAAAAGCAGTTTCTGGGCCTGACAGATAAATACACAGCTGCAAAGACAGGCATAATTCAACTGGAATGTGTGAAATCTGGAATTGCATGTGCTGTCATAACTGATGATGCATGCATAAATAAGGCAGGACCCGAGGTGGAACCATGTGGAACCACATCTCTATTGGATGGTTACAACTCACTGCTTTAAAGTCTGACTAATTAGTCTGACTAACAAAACTAGGATTTGAGAGCTATAAATGTAAGCAGCACATGGTAGCCCAGAAGGCATCTAGTTAGAACAAGACCAGCACCGGCACCAGCTCTGTGTAGGTGGAAACGAGGCACAAGTAAATCTGAATTCTTACACCAAGGGCTGCCTCAATGAAACTCTGCCTTATAACAGCAACTCAACATACAGTATGAAGCTTATGCTATGGGGGTGGCTGAATGGGGGGATGTAGGCCAGGGGCAGCTGGGAGAGCAAGGCCGACAGAGGACTTCACCGTCGAGAGGCCCCACAAGTAGGGTAAACCGCAGTGTCACACAGGGTCCTGGGAACCACTGGGCGATTTCCCACTGCTCGAAGAACAGAGTTCAGGAGGATACTCTTACAGGAGAGGAGAACACAGATGTAAATCCCTGGGGACCGTAACGCCTGGGCACAAGCACCAATAAAAGCAATAGGTAACAAAAGCGAACAGGGGGACGCCTAGAAGAATTAAAAAGAAATACCATAATCTGAGCTCAGCGGGGCGGTCGTTTCATCTTTATTCAACGAGAAAGGGCCTGTGTGTTTACATTTTCACACTATCCACCAGCCAGGAACTGCCACGCCAGCAACAGCATGCAGCTCCGCGATAGTGCTGGTACTTAACACTACTAAAAATGTGGCCAATGCAAGCCTCTGTGGCGTTCAGTGCAACTCAATCCGACTCATTACCGGTCAACCTCAGATGCCTGACACTGAATTATAGCACCAAAAAAATCAGAGGAACAAATTCTGTAGCAAGTAAAGGATAGAAAAGGATTTGACACACTTGGGGCCCTTGTATCTTACTACACTCCTGTTCATCAAAGGTTGCTTCTCAACATAGCTGAATACAACGAAGCATTATATGATATCAAATGACAACTGAACTCGCCAATGAAAAGTATTGCTGGCTGGGTTCAAATGTACCCAGAAGCAGCTGCCTTTTCAGCAAAGCCAGGTTCTGCCATCCGGCTCGGCCAGCGTCCGGCACACTTCCTTTAAAGGAAACCTGGGCAGCTGTGTAAACGACGGCACTCCCCTCTGCACGCAAACGCTGGCAGGGAGCGGGAAAGCCTGGTTTTATATACCATGTTTAAGACTTTCAGCTCGTCTGGTGGTGAGCGTGAAAAATGATGCAGCGAGTTCTCCAACTGTCCATGGATGCATTGTAGAGGCTGGAAAAATGCGCTTCCCCTTCAATTTGTTCCACACATAATTCCAAAATCATCCCAAAAGAGAAAATGCTCCCCTGTAACAGGGGTTAGATCAGGACTTAAAAACAAGCTAAAAATATTTCAGAAACTGAATTACCAGACACCAGCAGGCAAGAAACTATTATTTCAGCATGGCTTCACAAAATACTCTACAACCCTTTCAACAAACAAACATCAAGAACAAATAAAATCCCCCAAAACTAAGGCAGAAACACACAGCTTTACACTTTAATTTACCTTACATTCTGAACAAAATGAAATCCACCAAGAGCCGGTACTGAAGAATCGTGTGACTAGGGGGAGGAAGGAGGGTGTATTTCACGATTCTACCAATCACCTGGCAATGCTAATTACACAGAGGCACTCCATGATTGGCACATAACAGCCCGCTTCCTCATGGAATATAGGGGGAAGCTGAAGGGCGTATCCACACTCGTTCTGATGTAACATTCCAGGCGTTGCCCTAATCATCGACTGGAGTCCTGGGCGGTGGACACTGGCTGAAGCGGGCATAAGGGGGAGGGAAGTGATGTCACGAGGTGTCAATGAGCGTTTCCTATGTGGGTCCCATGCACCATGACTAGGTTTTTGGAGGAGGGCAGCTGGGGACGCTCAGATCTTCCTCAACTGCTTTGGCTGCTGATCTGGATGCGAGAAAGGAATTACAGGAAGCTTCCCACCCTTGGTCCCAAGGAGAAACACACACACACACACACACACACACACACATTCCAGTGCAAGCCTCCATCGGAGAAGGGGAAGCACATTTGTTTTAAATATGGTTTCACAGAATCCGGCCTTTAACCCGTCCTTAATGCATTTCAGAGGGCAGCCCGGTCGAGGGCCGCGATGAAATTACACACTGCGAGACTCAAAAATATGCATGTGCTGAAAAAGGGGCAAAGCTGCATTTTTAGCCATTTCTGCCCAAACCTCAAAAGACCAGTTTCTGCCACATGCCCGTATGAGGAATATGCGATTACGTAACCGTTTCGGTTCAAGGGTGATCTTTGAGGACGTATACAACATAAGCACAAGATTGACAGCGTGATTCACTGAAAGACTCATGAAGAATGCGGTTTGAATTAAAGAAAAATAAATAAACTCACCGACAACCATGAGGGTGAACTCAAAGCCCCTCTTCACCGATTTTCTGTACACTTGGTTGGGGAGGTTTGCGAAACCCACATATCCCTCCAGGTTCTTCTGTTGCTGGAAGAGGAACGTTAAACAATAGTAATATATTATAAAACACTTGACTGCACACTGATCTCAGATCAGGTCAATTTAGCTTAACCAAAACCTGCTGGTGGAGGTTACCAGCAATCAGAATAAGAGGCAGTGCCCAGCTAAATCCAGAACCATGATCTTTCTACATACGCGAGGCATTATACGTCTGAATGCCTAACTGGGGCAGGGGCAGGAAAAAAAAAGCAGTTTAAGAGAGGAGAGAAAGACAAGCTGGGTAACCTGTGACAGGCCTTAAACACAACATCACCCATATAAGGCAGCTAGACAGGACCACTTATGATCCACGATTCCCTCAATTGTTCCAGGAGAGTTAAAACAAGGCTCCCAAAAGCAAGACGTCACGCTGGTTGATTACGGAGAAACATGAAACGGGAGGGTTAATGAGATACTTACAGCTACTTTGAAAAGCATTCACACATTGACGTTGAGTCCCAGGAGAGATGGTTGGGTAGTGAAAATGCCAGAGATGTTTATAGTTCCCGAGGGTCGTCCCACAAGGACAGCAGGGGCATGGAAAGGAAGAAAAAAAACAAAGGAAAATAAATATTAGCTCAGTGGAATGATTAATACTTTATCTGAGTTTAGCTCTGGACAAACACATTCCAGCCAGAACCGAAAGGCATAATTATACACAAACATATATACGAATAAAGACTAAATCTTACTGAAACGTGAATGACATGACTATAGCTGCCCACGCCGACCAGCTACCATTACGCTCAAACAATGGTTATCATGGCTAATGAAAACGTCATTAAAAAAAATTACTTCACTCCAAACATATGAAGTGGTTTTAATTACTAGTCCCAACAGATTTCCACGTTTGTTTATTGTACTGCTAAAGGATAAACTGGGTGGAGCTCCAACAGCCTCGTTGAGATATGACCTCAAGCCCAACCGGTGACACGCCCAGTGTCTCACGTGCTGCACCACTGCATCTAATTCAATCATCTGCTGTGTCAGTCAGGAGACAACTGATTGCTGTGTCTGGATTCTGTGGTCAGTGCAGACCAGGCCTCCTGCATCTCAATAAAAACAGGCAGGATGCTGTGAAGAACACGAGCAAAAGCAAAAAAAAAAAACGCGTACTGCTGATAAATACCATGATTGATTTCACCGACTGCATCTTTTCTTCTGCCATAAAAAATAAAGGGTACATTATCTTTATGGAGAATATAGACAATAAACAGATTTTAACACAATTCAACAATATTCCAGCCCTTGATGCTGATATCACTCTCAAACAATGTGTCAAGGAATGAGAATCTGTAATTCTTTAAAGAGGACTAAATTAACGAGTTAATGGACGATTTCACCAAATGCAACCACATGTAGTCATTCAAGGAGAATGAAAGTGCAGGGATATGAAGTTTCAACATCAAGTGCACTGATGAGGCCTGTTTTAACATGTTATTTATCTAACTCGCAACAGTTTCAAGACTATTTTGCTTCCTCGATAGTTTAAATGTCAATATATTTTAAGTTATTATTTTGAATGTACACTATTCCAAACAATTAGCAGGTAAAATAAAGAAAAGGCTACAGAATAACAAAAAAGCCTGAACCATGACCGTGTGCAATATGCAAAACATCACAACATATTTAAAAAGCACACAGAGACCAGCAGACACACCAAACCTTTTTACGGCCATTTTTTTGGACAGGAAATGGACTCTGTAACCATGAGGTTCTCTTACAGAAAAAACGATGCCACTACTATCCCGAAAGACAGTGGCCACATGCCTCACTACATCGGGAAAAAGTTTAACGCTGTCAAAATAAAAATAATGAAAAGGAGCCCAAAACAAAGGGACAGAGTCAACTGGTTTCAAACTGATAAGAAGTTGTATAATTACCCACAAAGAGAAAACTGCAAACATTATAGGCCAATTTTACACAGAAATGACAACAGGATAAATAAACCTCACTGAAAAAAGGGTAAAGAATAGCTTCTATGCACAGATGAATAGAGGAGTACAGTAGGTTACACAATGAACATTTCAGCTGTCAGACAAGCAGCCAGAACTCTGATACAAAGCACTAGCAAGCACTTCAGTATGGACGGCGTTATCGCCACATCCTATAAAATAAACTGGCCTTTTTGACTCTGAATGCTGAACTCTGGCCAGCGACCAAAAAAAAGCAATGGAGGATAGGAATCACGTCGCCTTTTTACAGCGACTGCTGCACTAGAGATTCTGATAGGGGCACACAGACCAGAGAAGGCACTGAAATGCCCTTTACGGCAACCTTCATTTTATCACATGTCTTCTTATAATGGACATGATTTACATTGATAGTACACTGGCAGTGGACTTCCACCAGTGAAATCTAAGCATCAGTCACACGTGGGAAAAGGAAAAAAAAAGCTGGCCGTCTTCTAAATCATGTTTAAAGATGCTGCATCTTTTTGTCAAAGGATCAACTCCCACACGGCACTCCAGCAACCAGTCAACCTTCTCACGCTCTCATACTGGCTGCCTTCCCTCGGTTTCTCCCCCCCCCCCATTCCCCCAAAAAGCTAGAGAATAACAAAGAGTTGAACACAAGCAAAAAAGCAAACAGAGGACTCAGCTGCGGAGAGCTGTCCAGCGAGAGAGCTGAGGAGGACCTGCTGGAGGACCTCTCCGTGGGCCGTTTGTCTACACTACTCCCTGCATACATACATGACACATTTGCGCACTGTCCTCTCCTTAGCCAATGGGGAGGCTTGTACATATCCTAGGGCGCCAGAAGGAATCAGGTTCCCCTGAACATCCTCCACCCCTTCAGAAGGCAAACAACTTTAAATAAGCAGTAAGGAGAGAGACAGTACACACTACCTGTGTGGGTAACAGAGGCACCAGCCAATTTTAAACAAAGGAATTCAAGCTAAAAGTGTATCACTGCAAAGCAGTTGCATAAAAGAGGTCCGGCTGTCCTCTCATCCCAATATAATCAAAGAGTTATATTAGGTTCTACATCCGTGATCCGTCCATCTGGAGGTAGCTCTTTTATTCCCGCCTAATCCTCACCACATTCCTAGAGTAGCCAATTTCTAGCTTAGCCTGTATGCAGAATCCCCTCAGGGTGCACTTACGCAATCGGCAGATGCTGAAATTAAGTGTGTCGTCACTTCCCGATGATGCTTATCTGGCTGAACTGAAGGGCAGACCCTGTAGCCCAGCACCAAGCGGGGTCACGCATAACGCAGGACGCCGCTATGCAGACGCATGCACGCAGTGGACAACAGAGCTCCCTGCAGACTGGCAGGAAGGGGTCGAGCCGCAGACACCAACGGCATTCTCTGCATAACTCCGCACCAGCACAGTGTATGCCTCAGTGATATATAGTATACTATATAGTATACTATATACTACGCTCTACATGTATGGAAATGTGTCCACTGTGGTTTTCTTTGACAGCATTCGGCAGATGTTCAGCACACTTTTACTGCATCTCTTTTCAAACCTTCCTGCCAGACCTCAAACCATTTAAGCACCACAGCCGTTAAATTCTTGAAATGCCACTGTGAAGGTTGCAGATTTATCAGTTTCACGGGCTAAATAAACAGGGGGTAACATGGACTCCTCAGGTCACTGCACCGAAGAGATTCTATCTGGAAGAATGGATTCTAGGTACCAGGAGGGAAGTGGTGAAGTGCGACTATATTTGTAGAGAGGAGCCTAGTTTGTTTTTTGGTTGGTTTGTAGCTGCTGAAAGAAATGAGGTGAGATCCTCTGCATCAGCAGCTCTGTCTCCTGTGCGATTGGATAGAAACAATCTCCTTTGGGCACTACATTGTGTTTCTTTCTTATTTTTTTTTTTAACAATCTTTTATAATCATCAGAAACAAACTCTGACAAAAAAAAAAAAACTGCAAAAACATATCTGTCATTTCCTCCCCCAGCCCTGCGGTCGCCCAGCCCTCAGGCACCCTCCAGTGACTGAACCACCTGAACAAACTCAGGCACCTCCTCCACACACATCTCAGACCTACGGCTCAACAGTGCAAGCCTGGCTAATTCATCTGCAATTCATGTAAAGCAGCTCTGACTCCTTCATTTTCAATAAAATTGTTTTTCAGCCTCCCAGATAATGAAATGAGATTAAACTCATCGCAACCTAATTAATATGAAAATTAATAATTAATTATTTCTGCATTACTTAAGCAGACTGCATATTCTTGGCCCTTTATTCAAATGCAGAAAAGACAAATTTCTACAACTGCATACATTCATGTAATGTGAGCTAAACAGGAGGCATCCCATAGCACATGAAAGACAGTCCTGCTGCACGACAGCTGGGCTCTTTTAAATCTATACAAAGCCTGCTGTAAACACACCACAGGTCACATGTAACAAGGCAGATCGAAAGAGTCCTGCGATCCCCCACGAACGACATGTGATACAACCATAAGTGTGATATATTTGCTCATTTTTTTCCACCCACAAACACAGAAGGCTTTTATCTCATGTAAGTTCCGAGAGACTAGCCATCGGTACAATACGCAACAGTTTCATAACGGCAGATGATAGTATTGTTGTACTGGGCTTGAATTAAAAACAATAAAAACTAAATTCAACATTCAATTTCTACCACAAAATACCAACGGAATTTTACCTTCTAAACCTTATCTTGGACCGACTATCAAGACTTCACTCCAATGTGAAATTTTCGGAGCATTAATTATGTGGAGAGCAGGCAAAAAGATCATAAAGATGCTTCTGACACCGATGTAATTCGAAGCTAAATAAACAAACACTTTTACATGGACTTTATCAATAAAAACATCACTTTGCGCTTTGATTTTTGTCTCCTACTCCTCACAAGTCTAACCCTCAGCTTTCACAATGAAAAACGTAGGAAAACATCTGTTCCTAAAAGATTAATTTGATATGATTCCCAGCCAGAATAAGAACATGAATGTTTTATATGAATGACGCATACAATCACATTCTTACCTATCTCACACTCCGGCAAAACCCGCCTCGCAAATTTCAGTATAATTGATTAAATGACCGTATATCCAAAGATATTCAATTTAAACATTTCTACATGTAACCTGCATGGCTGTTAGAAGTGAAAACATCCATACGCAAAATGTGCCCTAACACAGCGGCTCTGGGTCCGATCGGAGCTGGAGGCGTAGCGCGGGCCAGCGGGTTAGGGGGGGTGGGCTGGGTACTTCTCTGGACCTCTTAATAACCTTTCGAGTGTTTACCCTCCAGTACATACCTTTCCCCCAAACTCTTTCCTACATCAGTACATGTCGCCGATCTAGGCAATAACACCTATTCGTGCGCTTTAGATAATTTACGACAGATTCAGCCCGGTGACAGTATCCACGACCCATACGCAGAAACCCACCCTTAGCAAGAAAATATAATGCATTTTACAAATAATAACAGCGACATCCACATTAGTGAATACAGGCTATCGAATAGATACCGAGAAACATCTAGAGGGGGTCGGATCACTTCGCAACGATCGTGCTCCTCTTTGATTCCATTGAAAGATACCACAGTTCTGAAGACGCAAAAGTGTGCGTTGGATAAAAAGGGTTAGTGCTCCGCTCCGAGCGCCTACAGCACATAAACCCCCTATACCAGCGAATAACGAGCAGCATTTCTTGCAAATCTGATAGTCTACGTCAATGGCTAGCAGTACGGCTAAAGTTAGCCAGCCCGGGAGGTTCAGCATTTTAACTTGGTGTTTTTTTAAGGCAGGCAATCAGATGTTGAAACCTTTTGATATTTAAGATGCAAAGGAACGACACAACTAAATACTCAATCTAAAATATAAGCAGATATTATTATTAACGTTAGATATATAGCTAGCAGAGGGAGAAACCATTTCATACTGATGGAAAAAATACACAGGAAATGCCTCCCTCGAGTTAACATTCAAATTAGTTTCTAGGAGTAAAATAATGGCTGGACGTTGATAGTTTATGTTATAAACCACACTTTGTTAAAGGATTTAAATGCGACGGAAATGTTTAGAGTTTCGCCGCTTAAAACGTCTAAAAAGACTCACCCATGGCGTTGACGTTCCCAGCTGCCTCAATAACCGATTTTCGCAGACCGAAAGTCCCCCCTCGCGATCTCGCGTCGGCCCCCACAACGCCGCGCACGCCTACGTAACATTTCTCACACGCTTAGCGTACCGTAGGCTTTGGGACACTGACAAAAGTGCGTACGCCGCCGTTGGTGAATAGCGACAGAAAACGCCAGTCAAGCACCGCGAGATTACTCAGAGCCACACCAAAAACAGATTTTTGAGATGTTTTAGGGGGCGAGTACAAGTTATTTCCGAGGCACGTTAGATTTTCAAGTCTTAAATACAAATGACAGAAAAATTGAGATAAATAGGTACAAACAGCTACTTTGTCACCGTCCTAACAAATCGGGAGTAATTGTTATCCCGTTAGAAAACTCAATGAGCCTTCGAAAGTTTACTCTTTGTTGTATAAAGATGAACAGAATCAATGATGATCTACAATGCATCTTTAGTTAAATACATCCATATCACTCCTACATATTTTGATTATATAATGCAAATTAACTATGCGATATTTCAAAGTTTATATTTCATGGGATGATTCATATACGATGAAAAGGCATAGAATGAATGACCGTCGCTGGCTGCGTTGCGCCAAGAGCGCAAACAAACCTGGCACAACATAAATTATTCTAAGGTAATTTAACTGTATGAATGAAGTAGTAAAATAACTATTCCTCAGATATTTACACATGTCCGTTTGTGTTATTAACACTGCAATGAGTCGCACTCCCGGTCCGACTCAAGAGAATTGGAAGGAAGATCTCGCCCCCTATTGCTCAATTTAGGGAACAGCAACGTAGTCTTCAATTTCGCGGTCCGACGGTTACTAAGTTAATTGTATGTAAATGTATATATTGTATGAAAATAGGTAAATAAGTGCATACGCCAAATAGAACTCAAACTCACTAAACAGACGAGCTTTCAACTTCTGCATAGTGTCCACAAGAGATGCACATAGCTTGTTAGAAGTGTTTGAACACCTTCCTAGGTAACTGTTTCGATACATGCAAAATACGATTATAGCTAATGTTTCAAGAAATTATATATTAATATAAAATAGCAAAGAGCAAGTGCTAACAATGAATGTTGCTTGTCATAACGATAAATATGTATGTACGTTTTTTCTTTCGTTATGACCAAGTAGCCTACAGCCTATAATAAAACTTACTATTTTTTGTGAGGGCATTTTAAACGTGTTTGATGTTCGTGATTACGAATCACAACGACAGTTCGTATGCGAGAGGTCACTAAAAAGGCAGAAAACTTGTACGGTAGAACAAATTATATAGTAATTAAGCTATTTAAATATACCTGCCCTACGTCTAACACCTGCTAATTCAGCTGAGGTTAGTGGTGGCTTGATGGTTAGGGAAGCGCACTTATAATTGAAAGATTGCTGATTTGAATCCCCGACCAGCAAGGCACCACTGAGGTACCCTGAGCAGGGTACCGCCCCCAATCACTGGTCCCCGGGTGCTGAATTAGCTGCCCCCTGCTATGTCACGAAAGTCACATATGGGTTAAATGCAGAGGACACATTTCATTGTTGTGTGCTGTGGTGTGTTAACACTGATCTCTAACTTCTAAGTAGCCTAATCATCAGCTGTTTGTGCTTACAGGTTTTCTCGATTGCTTTGGAAGATTACTCAAATGACAATTTACATTTGCAAAACAAGTGTAATCCCCACACCGTAATGTCACTTCTGCACAGCAGAACGTCATTTTTCATTGCTTAACAAAAATTTCCAAATGTTTTAGTACATATATGCGGACGATTCCAAGGGCCTCTGAGTGACGGGCTCTAAAGGATTCGGAACATAAATGGATTGATCCAGGTTGGGGGCCCCGTGTCACAGGCTTTCATGAGGCCCACAATCTCTAGCAGTGCCCCTGCCTACAGTACATGATTTTGTTGTATTTCGTTCCTTGTTGAAATGTTGAAACTGGTGTTTTTCACATGAATAAGTATCAATTTGGTAATGAAAAATGATCAGTCTGTCACAATAAGAAAGTAGGAACTATCATGCAGAACACTGGAACTCTGGGACATACGCTGACATTTTGACAACATAAGCATTTTGACTCTCATGGATAAAAAGATGCTGATTGTACTTTTCATTTTGGTGGCACTGTCCAATTCATTGGTGGAATTATTTGCTTTTGAGACATGAGTTAATTGTCTTGGGTGAGTTACAGGCTTTTGCAGCTAAACCACAGTGTTGTGCTACATGCATGAACTGTTTTGAGAAATAATCTTGAGCATGTTAAGTGTGATTCATGAAATGTACCAAAGCAATTGAGAAAAGGTGTGATACAAGCTTGCTTTAGCTTAAAAAGTTTGCACAGCCATCAGTGATCAAGTTAACAAGAACGTTTATGAATTTAAACATTTAGTTTAGAGGTCACATTTATAGGTTTGAATATGTGTGTATTCAGGAATACATATGTAGATGAAACATATGTTATACAAAGGAATTTAAAATATTTTGGTGAACAACAGAGATTCTATTTAAGCTCCTTTCTGTGATCCATGCATCTCCTACTCTACTCAGATCAGAGTTACCTTGGAGCCTGATATTACATTGGCTTTTAACACTGAGTCGCCTTTACATCGGTGCTGGATTCTATTGCTTTAGTCACCATTAATGAACATTCTACCTCCCTGACGTGGCACTGCTGCACAATATGATGACATATGTGAGTCTTGCTTGCAAATGATTTTCATTTCATTTAATCCAAATGCCTCTCAAACCTCTCCAGTAAGTTATGTGGCAAGTCGATTCAAACCGAAGACCTACCAGCACAGAAATCGTCGTTTCCCCACCTAGCCATCGTGTGACACCTCTGTTGTGTGCTACTCTTGAAACATGATGCATTGGCAGAGTCTCTCCATAGTTTGCACCATCACAGAGAATGTTATCTAAAGAAGAATTCATTTTTACCCTCATTTACTCATAGCCATGTGTTTATGAGGACAAGCCCATCAATTCATTCCATCACTGCATAATTTACAGAACGCATTTTTATCCTGTTGTACCATCATATATCTTAGGGAAAACCATATGCATTCTTTAAAATTAAGTTCTTGGCATAACGCAGCAACCAATATATAATCTTTGTGGTTCAAGTCAATCTTAAAGTGTTTTTTTAATGGAATGTTGGCTGTCGTTATTTTCCAAACAAGTTCCTCATCTGGGGGACAGCTGTGCACAAGCAGACCTGTGCCTGAAGTATTCCTATTAATTACAGATCTGTGGGTCCGTCAGCTCCTTCTAGTTTCTCCTAAAAGGAAGATGCAAGAACGCTCAGGTTTGAGAAGAACAAGCACTCAGCTTAGGTATCGACTAACTGATGTTAACTGCCGTTGATGTCCTATCAGAATACGCATAAATCAACAGCCAAGCAATGCGTCAGGCAAACATTGTTTTGCTTGTCTTTTTCATTGCCTTAGATTCGGGCACAAAACAAATCTCATTTCAGTAAACACAAGTGTATTTATTTGGTTTGGTAGCCACCACAATCCACTGTAACTGACATGTTTCTATTCTCATAGGTCCGCAGTTGCTGAAGCCATTGACAGTAATGACGTTTATTTTCTCCAGGATGGGCATAGCCGTTTCCAGTATGTTATAACTGCAGCTCTGTGGTCACAAGTTCCAATTCCCGAGGTATGACATTACCCAGACAGTCACTGCCCCAGACATTAAAATATTTGCTGGTGACTGATCTCCTCTCAATTCTGTCCTTTTTCTTCACTGGCATCTTAATGGGCTTCAGATGTTGATACAACAATGGGGAATTTCATCACGATTGCATCAGACCGATCAGTTCAGTGCTTGAAATACGTAAGATGAAACACTTTCAATGTTGTCTCAGTTGAGATTTTTATCCCGTGGCATTATGGCAGACAGGTCAACAGAGGTGGGGACTCGAGTCGCTGACTTACGACTCGACTCAGATTCAAGTCACAAATTTGATGACTTATGACTCGACTCAGTAAAACTGATGAAAAGACATGGACTTGACTTGGACTTCAAGGCAGATGACTTGAGACTTGGACCCTATGACTCGAGAAGACTTGAGGTTATAGTCCCCCCTCTGGATATCATTACGCTAATTTTATCATTTCAATGTATATTAATTCTCAGCTGTCTGCATTTTCATTTGGCTGAATGCAAGGTCTCCTGAGATAGTTTGTTGGAAAGATGATTCACTCCCACATATACACGGATGTAAAAACTGTGTGAAGACAACCACAGCAGATTGGAGACTCTCTTGTAAACCTATACCTGTGTATGAAGGACTTAACCTATAACATACTGTGGCGGGTTTTTGTATCAGCAAGATTTAATCACTACAGGTAAAAAAACTGACACAGGTAGGAACCCAAGTTACATGACTCACAACTTGACTTGGACTCGAGTCATAAATTTGATGATGTGATTCGACAGCAAAAATGATGGAAAGACTTGGACTCAACTTGGACTTGAGGGCACATGACTTGAGACTTAACTCAGACTCGCCAAGGAGTGGCTTCTTCCCATTATTGTATCTCAGCTCCGTGGGGAACATTGTACCCTTCATTTCAGCCATCACATGCATCGGTCCTAACCTCTTCATCTTCCTCTTCATTTGCAGCTCCTTCCAAACTTCCCTCTATTCCACTTTTATTGAGTATGTTTGAGACCAGAAATTATGCTGCCAAATCTATTCCCTGAATGTCCTTCTATCTCATCACAACAGGCCCCCCATGTCCATTTAGCTGGCAGAGGGAGCACTTTAGAAAAGACAGGACAAATCGACGGCCTTCACCTTGTGAGTCAGCAAGGTGAATTTCACTTTGTTCAGGCCGCATTAAAAGATGGCCCCCGCAGCCACGGTGCAAAAACTCATCCTGTTCCATATCACCAGTTATTCTTTTAATTAGATCCACTGGGAGACCCTGCCTACCATAGGAAACATGCTAGATCTACCATTGGCTGTCGGAGTTCCCTGTTCTGTTGAGGTTGGTAGGGAAACAAATGCAAGACCTCATCAGACCCCACGAGGTCTCTAAAGTAAAGGAATTCTAACTTTTCTGTGTTGGAAAGGCAGTGAATTAAAGCCTTGCCACCACCTGTGTGCGATG